CGTCCGACTTCAGCCAGGTCACGATCTCGCGCTCCGTGAGTTCGAGCCCCACGTCGGGCTCTGGGCTGATGGCTCAGAGCCTGGAGCCTGTTTCCGATTCTGTGTCTCCCTCTCTCTCTGCCCCTCCCCCGTTCGTGCTCTGTCTCTCTCTGTCCCAAAAATAAATAAACGTTGAAAAAAAAAAATTTAAAAAAAAAAAAAAAAAAGAAAAGTGTATTCTGTTGTTTTTGGATGGGATGTTCTGTATATATCTGTTATGCCCATCTGGTCCAGTGTACCATTCAAAGACATTATTTCCTGGGGCACCTAGGTGGGTCAGTTGGTTAAGCGTCTGACTTCGTCTCAAGTCATGAACTCATGGTTCGTGAGTTTGAGCCCCACATCAGGCTCTCTGCTATTAGTGCAGAGCCCACAGAGGATCCCCTGTCTCCCTCACTCTCTGCCCCTCCCTTGCTCACTCACTCTCTCAAAAATAAATAAACATTAAAAAAAATGTTTCCTTATGGATTTTCTGTCTGGATGATCTATCCATTGATATAAGTGGAGTGTTAAAGATTTTCTTTTTCTTTTTCTCCTTTTCTTTCCCTTTTTATTCTCTTCTCCACTATATATACATATGTATGTATACATACATGTATGTATATATTACATGTATGTATGTATACATACATATGTATATATAGTCATATTTTACATCTTTTTATTCATACTTTTCCACTTCTCCACTATATATATATGTATGTATACATATATATATAGTCATATTTTACATCTTTTTATTCATATTTTTCTTATGCCTAATTATGGCCATTTCTTTTCCACTTAAAGAAATCCCTTTAACATTTCTTATAAGGCTGGTTTCATGGTGATAAATTCCTTTATCTTTTGTTTGTCTGGGAAACTCTTTACTTCAACTTCAAATCTGAATGATAACCTTACCAGTTAGAGTATTTCTGGTTGTAGGTTTTTTTTCTTTTCAGCACTTTGAACATATCATGCCACTTCCTTCTGGCTTGCAAAGTTTCTGCTAAAAATTAGTTTATAGTCTTAAGGCTTTTCCCTTGTAAGTGACTTTTTGTTTCTCTCTCACTGCTTTTATGATTCTCTGTTTATCTTTAATCTTTGACATTTTAATTATTATGTGCTATGGCATAGACTTGCTTGGGTTCATCTTGTTTGGAATCTCTGTTTCTTGGACTTCAATGTCTATTTCTCTTCTTAGGTTAGGGAAGTTTTCAGTTATTATTTCTTGACATAAGTTTCTACACCTCTTTCTTTTTTTCTACAATGTGAATGTTTTTTGGCTTGATGTTGTCCGAGAGATCCCTTAATTATCCTCATTTTAAAAAATACTTTTCTCTTTTTGCTATTCAACTTGTGTGCTTTCTATTACCCTGTCTTCCAGATCAATGATACGTCTTCTGCATTTTCTTGTCTATTGTTGATTCCCTGTAGTATGTTTTTTGTGTCAGTTATTGTATTCTTCAATTCTTATTGGTTCTTTTTATTGAAGAACCTTATTGAAGGTCTCTGCATTCTTCCATTCTTTTATCTAGTCCAGTGAGTATCTTTGTGATCATTACTTTAAATTCTTTATCAGGCATATTGCTTATCTCTATTTCATTTAGTTCTTTTTCTGAGCTTTTTTTTTTCTTGTTCTTTCTTTGGAGCATATTCCTCTGTCTCCCCAGTTTTCTTGCTTTTCTCTGTTTGTCTCTGTGGATAAGATGAAATGACTACTTCTAAAGTTGAAGAAGTGATCTTGTGTATGGTGTTCCTTAGGCAGACTGTGTGTGCTTAGTGACTTTTGTCGGCTGACTGGAGGTGTGGCTGTATATCTTTTAAACCATGGGATGTCTCCATCTCTCTTGCTGTTTTCTTGCCATTCTTTCTATTTTGGTTGCTCAGTAGCTGTTCAGTTAGCCCTCAGTTCTTCACGAAGAATTGTTCTATTAATAGGTGTAATGTGGTGTGTTCCAGGGTGAAAGTGAGTTCAGAGTTTTTTCTTATGTTGCCATCTTGAACTGAAACATGCTCTTGTATTTTGTATCATAGCTTTAAATCTCTCCATGTGTGTGATGTATATTTTGAACATTTCAGCTTATAATACATTGTATTATACAATTATTGATGTTCATGTTAACTTCAGTATTTATAAAGACCACAGCAAATCCTTTATTTTTTACAAAGATAAGCTGTTATCTACAAAAAGAAAGAAATAATCAGATTTGGTGGAATATGCAAAGCATTCTATATTAAGCAAAGCATGGCCTTCAACATTTACTCTATAAAAATAAATAACCCTTTTGACATCCAATGTAGAAGAAAAATTATCATAATGACCCAGATACACTATCTCACTACCTGGAATTACCTTCAACTTCATGCCTTATGTGATTTTTTTCCTGGATGTTCCCTTCATTTAAAATGCTGGTCTCCTCCCAACTTTTTCTAAGTTCAAAATATTGGTTATCTTTCAAAGTGATCCCAAATATTTCCTCTTCCATGAAGATTCCTCTTATTCCCCAATGAAAACAGCTGCTCATTTCTCTGAGCAATCAGAATTGTGTGTTCCTCCATTATCCCATGGACTTACAACAATTTATGTTTTACTTATAGATGTTTCTCCCATTTGGCTGTAAGCCTCTTAAGAACAGGGTCAATATCCTGGTCCTTCTTGCTCTCCACATAGTGCCTGACATTCATTATTCATCCAGCAATCATTCACTGCATGCCTACCATTCAATACCACAGAGTGAACATAAGGGAGAAAATTGCAGCAAAAAATCAACAACTAAATGTCAGTGTTGTGGAGAAATTTTCCAAGTTAGGAAACTAAAAAAAATGAGGAAAAAAGTGTTGCCACAGATCAGGTTATGGAAAGAATTAACAGAAGATATCACAGAACTGGCTTATTTTTATAACCAGCATATCTGCTTCTAAGATACAAACCCCTCTCTTCTACTGCTTTGCCCATTTTTGTGATCTGAGACCCCTGTGGTTTGTGTATAGAAAGCTGGTAGACCCAGGGTGAGTAAAATAAATCTAATCAATGTTCATCTGCAAAAGAAAACATGAATTAGCAGTGAGAATCTAAGGGAAGGAAAAGACAAAACCTTTTTTTCTTGGCAGAGGCCTGAGGCCCAACTTGTGACGGTCAAGCTACTGCATAAGTTCTTAGAAAAGAACTTGTTCTCTTTTGAAACCTTCTGTCAAAGCAAAACATATTGCTGTCTCAGCATGTACATCAGAGCTAGATTTATTTCAAATACCATTTTTGTGTGTATACTCTTATAGAATACTTGGCTTCCTGCTTCTCTAGTATTTATTAAACTCAATTTTTCAGAACATCTGTACTAAAATATTTTTAGCCACCATTTTCAAATAATTTCTGGTAGGGCAATGTTAGGCCAATATTGTGCTTAATTCTATACTCTGAGGACTTTCTTTCTCAATGCAGGGCCTCCTGGTCTTTTCCACTGAACCTTCAGTCACTCTTTACATCTCATGATCCATTCATCCACAGAATGCAGAAATGCTTTCTGATTTTATACAAGGTTATTGGATACTTGAACCCAATTTTTTAAAATTCCCTAAAGCAATTAACCTCACAAAAGCATCCTCTTCCATACCAATGTCTTAGAATCACAGAAAGTTGTTAACTATTAAGATCTCTGTATATATTTCTAAATTGATCTGTAGCTCTATTTTATTTCTAATGCCTTCTCTTCTAATGTGTCATTGGCTGTTCATCTTTAATTCTTCCAAACTCTTTCTGAAAAACCTGTTATTCCTTCACAACTGAGCCCTTATGGTGCACAGATAAGTCTCCCCAATTTTCTAGGGAACCCCAGGGTAGTCTTAGGTGGGGACTGACTGTCATGTTATTAGGGTCCCCATCAACTTTTAATAAATTATAAACCATATTTCCATTTTTAAAGTAGTACATACTAAAATCCAATGATTTTCAAAATATTTCATTTAAAATATCAGCTTAACTCTGAAAGAATAAATACCCTATGCATTATCAAATTATAGATTTAAAAATTCCCAGTATAGAAGAGCCTAAAGTATCTTAACATGGCATCAGCTCAGCTGAGTTCAAATCCTGGCTCTGCCCCAGATTGGGTAGACTTGAGGAGTTTTTCTGGATCCCTGAGCATCATTCATCTTTCTAGATGCCCTATCAAGCATCTATTGCATGCCATAAGCCAACATCATAGTGGCAAACAAGTCATTCACAGTGGTTCACTAAGCTGACATGCCAATGCACTAAATTTCCTCATTTTTAAAATAAAAATAGTAACACCCATCTTGCAGGGTGTAAAAATTAAATGGCTTCTTGCCACCTCTGCTCCATGGCACCACCACCATCCTCCCCCCGCTTTCTTATCCATAAAAGATGATCTCAGTAAGTTTCCCTGCTGAACCTCTTCAGTATGAAATAAGCTTTTCTAACCAGACCAGGCCAGCTCACAGGAAGCCACACCTCCAGCTGAGTTATTCTGGGGGCTGTCTTTGTGGCCCCTGCACAACTACGAGAACAGTGTCACTGGTTCATGTCATACTATCCACTGCCCAGAAAATGCCTGGTGGTTTTCTATCCACTGCCCAGAAAATGCCTGGGTTTCCTCCATGCATTTTCTTATCCTTCCCACATTGTCATTTCAAAGTGCCCACTCAGAAGGAAACAACACTGTATCTCCGTTATTATTGGCAAGAGGTTTTCTTTCTTCCAGGTGAGTTGCTTAGAGATTCCTCATGCATTATTAGTTGAAACAAGGGAAGGATGGATAGAAAGAATATACCTTGTTGAAAGCATATTTTAGTTAAATCTACATTCCATGAAATGGATCCACACCCAAATACACAGTTGTTTGGAGTTATTGGTTCAAAGACTGAAAACTGAAGAATGTATTTCTAAAGGTGTTTGTATGTTGAAGTATAAAGTGTAACTCTGGAAGGAATCCACGTTTAATGCTATGTACATTTGTTTCTAGATTCTGTTAGAAGTTGTGTAGCAAAGTTGTTCTTTACCTGCTCCCTGAAGGGTCATTACTGCCTCTACAGTAAATCCAGTTTTATTCTCATCAGCCAAGAGCCTCAGCCATGGATCCAGATCATGTTCCTCTTTCAGCAGGTATGTATGTCCATGCTTGTCATGGCTCCATAGTGAGTTGGTGGGGTATGAGTTTATCATCATTTTTACTGAATTGTTCTTTGACTAGAGTTCGATGTAAATAACAGCAACGCATACACATTTCATTAGTAATTTTTAACATGGGTTTTCTATATTTTAGGATAGTTTCTTTATAAAAGATCTTGGATTAGCATCAAGGAGGCCAAACCTATTAATATCATGAATATTCTTAGTTTGAAAAAGAAGAAGAAAAGAGAAAATACTTCTGTTGCACAATAACAAAAACAGCTTATTTGGAGGAATAGCTTTCTTTATGTAGAGTTTGTCTTTATTTCTCCACAGCCTTCCAATCTCCAATTAATTTTAGTGTCAACATATCCTTTTTGACATTATTAAGATACGGGAATGCCACCTTTCCCCATAGATGTTATGTATATAGGTAAAATTACATAAAGAGGAAATTTCAACTTAATGAACAACTTAATGCAAACATTTTAGCATCAAAAGAGATTCTTGAATATTTGGAAATACTTATCTTGAATATATTAAACTTTCACATAAAATTTAAATATAGACTATAAAATGTAAATAATAGAAGGAATATCAGACATCATTTTTACAGATAAGAAAATTAAAGGCAGAACTCAGAACACCTGACACCTGACTCAGTGGTCTCTGTGGTCTTTTCCTAGTAGCACATGTGTTAAAAAATGAAATGTGGAGTCGCAGGCAGGAGCAGGAAGGGGTGAAACAGAACATGAATGTTAAAAAATAGGTAAAAATTAGGCAAGGCATGCCTGGGTGGCTCAATCGGTTAAGCATCCAACTCTTGATTTTGGCTCAGGTCGTGATCTCAAAGTTCATGAGTTTAAGCCCCGCATCAGGCTCTGCACTGAGCATGGAACCCACTTGGGATTCTCTCTCTCCCTTTCTCTCTCTGCCCCTCCCCTGCACTCTCTCTCTCTCAAATAAATTTTAAAAAATAAAATAATAAAGAAATTGTGGTTTATATACACAATGGAATACTACTTGGCAATGAGAAAGAATGAAATATGGCCTTTTGTAGCAACGTGGCTGGAACTGGAGAGTGTTATGCTAAGTGAAATAAGTCATACAGAGAAAGACAGATACCATATGTTTTCACTCTTATGTGGATCCTGAGAAACTTAACAGAAGACCATGGGGGAGGGGAAGGAAAAAAAAAAGTTAGGGAGGGAAGGAGCCAAACCATAAGAGATTCTTAAAAACTGAGAATAAACTGAGGGTTGATGGGGGGTGGGAGGGAGGGGAAAGTGGGTGATGGGCATTGAGGAGGACACCTGTTGGGATGAGCACTGGGTGTTGTATGGAAACCAATTTGACAATAAATTTCATATTAAAAAGATAAATAAAATAAAATAAAATATTTCTATAAGAGCACCTATCAAAGTCACCAACCAGATAATTACATTTCTTTATAAAGAAAATGAAAGCTTACTAAGAAAAATGAATTTTAATGCTGAATAGATCATAATCATAAAATGGAACTATAGTAATTAAGAGACAACTTAGACATGCCTTAGGAATACCATCTTTTCCTATATGAAGACTTTTTAGAAAAACACTTAATAATATCTCATAGAGAACAACTCACAGTTTGATGTGAACCAAATTTATGTGAATATAAAAAGCAGCATTTTTTTTCCTTTTCTTGAACTGACCTTATTATTCTTCTACTTATATTTTTCAAATAGTTTTCATCAGTGATATTGTATTTGGTTTCATTGTTGGCTTTGTTCTTCTTAGTTGTCAGTTTTCAGAAAATAAACCAAAAACTTGATTTTATTTTTGCCCCTTTAGTCTTGTTTTATTGATTTAATCTGATTCTTATGTTTCTCTTTAAGCAAAATCACGCAAAAGTATCTATAGTTTATGCTGCTTTTCTTCTTTGTTAATTTTACTATGTTTCCTTTCTTTTTCCACATGCTTTTTATTGGGTAGTCTGGGTGAATCCTGACTTGTGATTAAACAATAATCAAATCTTTGACTTGATCATTACAAACCCAGTACTAGCCTTATATGCTGGGTCAGACTCTTTTCTCTGTCAATTTAACCCATTCATGGAATTCTCAACTTCACAGATTCCAATCTCAATGATCCTCTTTGGAATGATGATTAGTTAAATCAGGTCCTGTTTTTCTTCAAGTGAAAAATCATATGCTGCGTAAGTTTCTGATAATAATTAAGAAACTCTCAGATGTGTCCACATTATGGGTTGTATAATTAATCTGTTATGGGCTCTTAGACTTTTTTAATCTGTAAGCTACTTATTTGGGGTATGAGATCCTCCACCTTTCTTCACTCAGTATAAAAAACAGCTTATCTTGGTGATGATAATTAAATTTTTCTGGGAAAAAACTTATTGGTTTTCATTTAGTAAATTGAAACTTTGTACACACAGACCACCTAAATCCCCATAAGCTAATGCTTGGACAATCACTGACACAGAAAATAAAATTTCATAAACCAATTCCATTATTTTACCAGACCTCACATATAAAGGATAATACATATGGTATTATAAGTAAATAAATAATATTTTATGCCCTTTATTATGTTCTATGTTTTTATAAAATTGTTCTTTTGAATTAAAATACTTCTCACTTTATAGATATCACAACACAATGTTTAAGTGACTATTAAACACGATTGATTAGTAAATATATAAACAACTTAAATCTTCTTTTAAAACTTTGTTTTCATTGACTTAAATGAAATATATGTAAATGTGATTTTTTAAAAATTTATATCCAAGTTACTTAGCATATAGTGCAACAATGATTTCAGGACTAGATTCCTTAGTGCCCTTTACCCATTTAGCTCATCCCCCCTCCCACAACCCTCCAGTAACCCTCTGTTCTCCATATTTAAGTGTTTCTTATGTTTTGTCCCCCTCCCTGTTTTTATATTATTTTTGCTTCCCTTCCCTTGTGTTCATCTGTTCTGTGTATTAAAGTCCTCATATGACTGAAGTTATATGTGTTTGTCTCTCTGACTGACTAATTTCGCTTAACATAATACCCTCTAGTTCCATCCACGTAGTTGCAAATGGCAAGATTTCATTGTTTTTGCCTGCCAAGTAATACTCTATTGTGTGTTTGTGTGTGTGTGTGTGTGTGTGTGTGTGTGTATACATCTTCTTTATCCATTCATCCATCAATGGACATTTGGGCTCTTTCCATACTTTGGCTATTGCTGATAGTGCTGCTATAAACATGGGGTGTGCATGTGCCCCTTCAAAACAGCATACCTGTATCCCTTGGATAAATACCTAGTAATGCAATTGCTGGGTCATATGGTAGTTCTATTTTTAATTTTTTGAGGAACCTCCATACTGTTTTCCAGAGTGGCTGTACCAGTTTGAATTACCATCAGCAGTGCAAAAGAGATCCTCTTTCTCCGCATCCTCGCCTACATCTGTTGTTGCCTGCATTGTTAATGTTAGCCATTCTGATAGGTGTAAGGTGGTATCTCATTGTGGTTTTGATTTGTATTTCCCTGATGATGAGTGATGTTGAGCATTTTTTCATGTGTTGGTTGGCCATCTGGATGTCTTCTTTGGAGAAGTGTCTATTCATGTCTTTTGCCCATTTCCTCACTGGATTATTTGTTTTTTGGGTGTTGAGAAAGGTGATTTTCTCTACATAAATAATCTTATTTTTCAGAACTTAGACTATTAGATCTAGGAATAGTCACCCCTAAACACCCAAAAAAACACCCAAAAAAGTATTTTTGTTTCCCCCACCACCCACTCATACTGTTCATGGTTGAGCTGTTGCATAATGAACTTTTAGTCATTTTACTTCTAGCCTTCATGATCTACTCTGTATAAACTGACTTGATATTTGTACTTTAGTTTTAATTTTATGCCATAATTATCAGATCTTTGAACAAACAAATATGAATATTTATATTAACCATTTTCCAATTAAGTACCATGTTTGGGAAATGATCAAGGTAACACTATGTTACAAAGGTTGGACAAATTTAGAGATCAGTATCAACTGCCTTGGAGTCCTATTCAATAATTTTAATCTTCTATTAAAAAATGAAAAGCCCAAAATGCATCATGTGTTTGATCTTCGAGATAGATTTCTTTGTTGTTTTATTTAAATTTAAACCATGCTGAAATTCAAACCAAGCCCAAATGGTACCTTGTCATCAATCAAACTTTATTGTTCAGGTAAGAGATAATGTTATGGTTTTCTCATTAATGCCTTTCAGAGCCTGTTTCCTGAGCCACTGTCTATACAGAGTCATTCTGTACAATTCCTCAGAGATCTGTGGGAGAAGACCCAGGCAGATGGTGCTCACAGCTTTGAAACAGCCATGATGGAGTCCACATTTCCACAGCAGAAGGTAAACGTTTCTTCCCTTGGACATGTTATTTCATTATTTTTTTTTTAATTTTTAATAAACAAATTTGATTTATTTAAATTCACATTAGCTAACATATAGTGTAGTATTGGTTTTAGGAGTAGAACCCAGTGATTCATCACTTACATATAACACCCAATGCTCATCCCAACAAGTGCCCTCCGTAATGCCCATCACCCATTTAGCTCGTCCCACCCAACCACCTCCCCTCCAGAAATCCTGTTTGTCCTCTGTATTTAAGTCTCTTATGGTTTGCCTCCCTCTCTGTTTTCATCTCATTTTTCCTTCCCTTCCCCTATGTTCATCTGTTTTGCTTCTTAAATTCCATATATGAGTGAAATCATATGATATTTGTGTTTCTCTGACTTATTTCACTTAGCATAATACACCTTGTTGCAAATGGAAAGATTTTATTCTTTTTGATTGCCAAAAGATATATATTCCATTGCGCATATATATATATATATATATGTGTGTGTGTGTGTGTGTGTGTGTGTGTGTGTGTATATATATATACACACATACATACATACATATCACATCTTCTTTATCCATTTGTTAGTCAATGGACATTTGAACTTTTTCCATACTTTGGCTGTTGTTGATAGTGCTGCTATAAACATTGGGGTGCATGTGCCTTTTCAAATCAGCATTTTTGTATTCTTTGGATAAATACCTAGCAGTGCAATTGCTGGGTCATGGGGTAGTTCTATTTTTAATTTTTTTGAGGAATCTCCATACTGTATTCCAGAGTGGCTGCACCCATTTACATTCCCACCAACAGTGCAAAAAAGGGTACCCCTTTCTCTGCATTTTCACCAACATCTATTGTTTCCTGAATTGTTAATTTTAGACATTCTGACAGGTGTGAGATGATATTGCATTGTGGTTTTGATGTGTAGTTCCCTGATGATGAATGATATTGAGCCTCCTTTCATGTGTCTGTTAGCCATCTGGATGTCTTCTTTGGAAAGTGTCTATTTATGTCTTCTGCCCATTTCTTCACTGGATTATTTTTTGGGTGTTGAGTTTGATAAGTTCTAATAGATTTTGGATACTAACTTTTTTTAAAAAAAAATTAATGTTTATTTATTTTTGAGAGACAGAGTGTGAGCAGGGGAAGGGCAGAGAGACAGACAGAGAATCCAAAGCAGGCTCCAGGCTCTGAACTGTCAGCACAGAGCTCAACATGGGACTTAAACTCAGAAACCGTAAGATCATAACCTGAGCAGAAGTAAGACGCTTAACCAATTGAGCCACACAGGAGCCCCATTTGATACTAACCCTTTATCCTATATGTCATTTGCAAATATCTTCTCCCATTTCATCATTTGCCTTTTAGTTTAGTTGATTGTTTCCTTTGCTGTACAGAAGGTTTTTATCTTGACGAAGTCCCAATAGTTCATTTTGCTTTTATTTCTCTTGCCTCTGGAGACATGTCCAGTGAGAAGTTGCTGTGGCTGAGGTCAAAGAGGTTGCTCCCTCTTTTCCCCTCTAGGATTTTGATTGTTTCCTGTATCACATTTAGGTCTTTCATCCATTTTGAATTTATTTTTGTGTATGGTGGAGGAAAGTGGTCCAGTTTCATTTTTCTGCATGTTGTTGTCCAGTTTTCCCAGCACCATTTGCTGAAGAGTCTGTCTTTTTCTCATTGGATAATTGTTTCTGTTTTGTTGAAGACTAGTTGGCCATTCATTTGTGGGTCCATTTCTGGGATCTCTATTCTGTTTCATTGATCTATGTGTCTATTTTTGTGCCAGTAGCATACTGTCTTGATTTTATAGCTTTGTATTACAGCTTGAAGTCTGAAACTGTGATTCCTCCAGCTTTGGCTTTCTTTTTCAACATTACTGTGGCTATTTGGTGTCTTTCGTGGTTCCATACAAATTTTAGAATTACTTGTTCTAGCTCTGTGAAGAATGCTAATGTTATTTTGGTAGGGATTGCATTGAATGTATATATTGCTTTGGGTAGTATAGGCATGGAATGTTTTTCCTTTTCTTTGTGTATTCTTCAATTTCTATAGTTTTCAGCATACAGAATTTTTATCTCTTTGGTTAGCTTTATTCCTAGGTATCTTATGGTTTCTGGTACAATTGTAATGGCTGTATTATTTTAATTTTTTTAATGTTTATTTATTTTTGAGAGAGACCGAGAGAGCACAAGTGGGGGAGGGGCAGAGAAAGAGAGGGAGACACAGAATCTGAAGCAGGCTCCAGGCTCTGAGCTGTCAGCACAGAGCCTGACATGGGGTTCAAACTCATGAGCTGTGAGATTGTTACCTGAGCCAAAGTCAGACACTTAACTGACTGAGCCACCAAGCACCCCTAGAACATATTATTTTAAGCCAACATTCAAGATTATCTTGAAACAGTTTGCCTTTTTCTAAAGTTTTATTTTTTTCTTCCTTCCTTTAACTTCTTTCATCATTATCAAAAAACAATTATTAATTAATGATTTTTCATGTGGTAATCTTTGAAAGGACAAAGCGATATTGGTAGACCGGGTCATTGCCTGTTATGACTGTTAAATTACCATTTGTTAAATGTAGCACAAAGTGCCAGATGGTGAATCTCAGTTCAAAAACAGACCACAGGAGAAATTGAAATAGAGAAATTTATTACTCACAGGTTCTGAGGGAAGTACATGGCACACCTTGAGGGGCTACATGGGGAGGTCAAGACAAGGTGCAGGCAGAGAAAGAGGCAGGACCTGGGACACATGCCTTTATAGCAGCTACAGATAGAGAGCTTTCGGGTTCCCAGGATAAGGCCAGATTGGTCAATTCAACAAAAAGCAGGTTTCTGTAAGCCTCACCAGAGTCTATCTAGCAGGCATATCAGGAGAAGGCCCTAGGAACCAGGGGAAACTGTTGATCATGAGAGCCACTGGAGGCATCATATCAGGGGTATGTATTTGTTTGTGACTCTGTAGGTTGTTTTCTAGGGCATGATTGTGCATCAGGGGATTAGTGTCAGTTTAAGGCCCCTACAGCCCACTTGGCCAAAGAAAATGGATGCCAAGGCAGCAATACTATGGAATAGCTTTGCCATATCCTCAGTAGTGTTGTTTGAGGCTCACAGACTGACATAACACATTCCACTCAGAGGCACACAAAAACTGCAGAGTGGTATGGAATAGAAAACATTTTACAAAAGAAGACCATGGACTCTAGGATTAAAAGGAAAAGAGCATCAGGAAACTGGGCTCCAGTTCTTTAGTGCTTTTTATTTCTTCCCTCCATACTTCTCTTCCCCTTGTCCTCTGCAATTGCCACAAAGCAAGGAAATGGAAATAAGGTGAACAGAAGAGAGAGAGCATGGTCAGGGTGAGAAAGAGCTCTATTGAGACAAGCAAGTATGACTTGAGACACATTTTAGGAGTGTGGAAACAGGGGCAACAATCTCAGGACACAATTGACTGAGACCTCCTGGGCAGACACCCATAGTGGGAAAAGCCCAGAATGTGGAACTATAGCCATTCGCCAGATAGAGTGAAACAGGAATTGTACATATACTGATGTGATCAGATTTGGATGAGAAAACTCACAGGCCTGGGTATGGAGAAAACAATCTGAAGAAACCTGGCTGGAAATAGGAAGACCACTTAGGAAGCTATTACTAGAATTAGGAAGGACATGAAGGTCAAAACTAAAATTGGAAGTTATAGGGAGAGGATGGATTCAAGAGCTACTAAAGAAGTAGAACCAACAGGACTTGGTTCTTAATAAGGAAAATGGAAGAACTAAGGATGACTCCACGTGCTTCGTATGGCTGAATGGATGATCGCACCATCCTGAAAAAAGAGACCACAAGGAAAACTGAGGTGGAGGAAGAAGATAAAGCATTGTAATTTATGTTTTGAGTCTGAGTTATCTGTATATATAACCAGGTGGTGGTGGTGTCTGAAATGCCTGTGTGGGCCTCTGGAAGAAGGCCATTAAGGGAGGCATGGATTTAGAAATCATAAGGTAGCCCTTGAGGTCATGGCAGTAGACTGGATCACTCAGGGAGAATATATATAATGAAAATAGAGAACGGTTATTGATCTCCCCTTAGTAAATATAACCAGCTTATCTAAGCTCTTCCCATACTCAAAGATTCGATTACTCTTATTTTGCCTTTAAGAAAGCCCAGAATAAGTACTGGAGGCTTACTGGGCAAACCAGAGGTTCTGAGAGGATATAATCATGGTCTCTGTCCTTGTTTTACTATTAGATGAGGAACAAGCATACCAATGTTAAATAAATTCAAAGTATGAACAAGTAGCAAATTAATCAAAAACTGTTATATTGTGAAACTAACTCAATATCTCTTAATGCTGAAGGATTGTAAGAAGGATGACAAATGAATGTGATTAATCAGAAATTTATTTACAATGGTCTGTAAGACACTGAAGATGCATCCAACTATTGCATCACTTTTTTGGCTTTGGTTTAAGAATTAGACTTGCAGTTTTAAGAATAAAGGAAATGCCATAATTGCATCAATGCAAAGTAGAATGGAATTTTTGTGTGTATTTCATTCAACTCTTAAACTGTTGCCTCATGATTAAAGACAATGCCTCAAATATACTTCTTCATATTTCTTACATTTTATACCAATAAATATTCCTCTAGGGAAAAATTAGCTGCAAATCAAAAAGGTTTTGAAATCTTTAGTTTTGTAATTTTCTTCATTCATAAGTAATAAAAATCACTTTGATATCTAGAATGTATATTATGTAGCGAAGTTATCTGCATAGGTATTTCTCAATCAAATTGATTTTCTTCTGTTTTTTTATGAAGTGTTCTGCTCACTAAATTCAAAATAGCTGGGAGAATAATCCAAACTCTGCTTTATTTTCCCCACGTGTGCCAGTATGTACATGCACTAGCAATTTGAAAGTGATGTGCATGTGCATCTGTTGATGTAAATGAGTTAACGCTGCTGTCAGGTGGATTCACGTCCCCCAAAAAGGAAGAAACTCTTAGGAAAATGCCT